CGTGTACAAAGTTTACGGGTTGGAGATATTTTTGTGCTGATAGCGTGCAGAATTTTGATATAATGTGTTTTATGTGTTTTCGCAACAGTGTTATTTCGTCCTTTTTTGTCTATTGACATCGGCAACCAACCCATGCTGTCATAAGAGTAGACATCCCTTGGACTGGATGTAGTCCAGAGAAGCGTGAAAGAGACCAACTCGATTGCAATATAGATCCAGAAACATCCCCAGACGAATACCATGTATCTGGTGACTGCAATCGAACCTGGAATGGCACAAGTGTGTGCGAAAAAAATTCTGACAATAATTGGAGCATTTGGAAAGAACACATCTTCGCGCCTCAGTGTCCAATTCAGTTTTTTTGTTCCACTTCTTCCGAATTTTGAAATCTCGCTTGATTGCTATGCTGGCCTCGAGTTTGGTTTTCATCTCACTAGCCACTAGTGGGCGTCTCCCATTGCACCTCCAGGTTCGGTCGATTCCTTACAAATTCCGCCGTTTACCTGATTGTGCAGATCTGCACACATGCCCTTTACATTCCATATATGCTGAATGTACAGACATTCGCCTGCGTTTTCGAAGAGCTCTCGATTCCTGCCGTGAAACAGATACCACCCGCATTGCAACCAGTATGCTGACCTTTGGAATATCATCCGCGCAATGGCTTTCACCCACCGTAGTTTCATATTAACCTACTCGAGGCCATCATCCAATAAAGCCCTTCCATTTTGACGGAATGTGGATCAGTGTACTTTCCCTTTCACCCACTGTAGATTCACATCAACCAACTCGAGGCCATCATCCAATCCAGCCCGTCCATTTTGACGGAATGTGGATCAGTGTACTTCCCCTTGTCTCTCCGTGCTTCAAGCAACAGCTGGGCAAAGTCACTGTCTCGTATTTGCAAATCCCCTTGATGCTTTTCTGGCAAGCGCTTGCCAGCGTTGCCGCCCACTTGCATGCCCAGGCTCTAGCTCTGAGGAACTCAGTGTCACTGAAACTCCCTACTGCGAACAACAATTGCAACTGTGCGAAGATGGTAATGGCGCTAATGTCCCATCCAAAACTGCAGATTTTGACCTCAATAGTTGGGTCTTATTTGCCACCTTGTGCACCTGCAGATTCGAACGCAACGCACAGAGGTGCAACACACACCAACACCCCAGCCCATTTTGTCGGTCTTCTGAGCATATCTCCCTGGCGATACACGCACACCTATTCACAGCACAAACGGAGACACAATGCACTTAGTGCCTGCGCATCAAAACATCACTGGACACAAGTGGCACGTGCAATGTGAATATGACACGAAGTTCTATTAGAGAAATTTGGATCGGCAATAATGAGGAATCGGCGTTGTGGTGATTCTGGAAGCGGTTTAGCGGCCCACCGCGACAGAAGTGCAGCTACATGCACGCAGTCTGCGCAGGCGGTAGACTCTGCATTGCTTCTAATGCAAAGATGCTTTCGTGTCGGTGAGCCTTTGGTGCCTGTACTCCCAGGCCAGATACTCCAAAGTCACAGCAGGAGAGGAAAGAGAATTGGGGGGAGGGGGGTACCGTTGTCGTTGAAGCAAGATTTCTTGTCAGGCACAATTTGAGCATTTCAGCATCATTGCGGCAGATGATGCAACGCTGCTGCGGGTACTCTCGCCGGCGGTGGATGCTGGACAGGGGAGGCTTTGGGATTTCCAGCTCAGGAAGGCCAACGCTAAAGGTCACCCTCACCTTATAGGGGCATGCTCGCTGGTGGGACCTTAGAAACAGCAAGGGGGACCCAACGATCAAGGGGGGCCCAAGGATCAAGAGGTACCCCACTGGGTGTGTCTCAGGGCTGACAAGCCGGATCGTTGATGCAGCATTGCTGGATCACTGCCTTTTTTGGGAATGTTGCATCAAGATGCCTTGTCGGAGGGTTGATAAACATCGACGTCACAGAGCCATTGATTCAAGAGCAACTCACCAGTACTGGTGATCACTAGTGTTGGTGATCATTGTTCAATGGCTCCCTTGCATCAAACCCATTCAACGCTGCATCAACGCCCACCGAATTTCCGGATGGTGGTCATTCCAAATTACTGAGGACGTGTTCCTTCTTGCGTCGTCAACGGCAGAAGAAAACAGCTTGTTCGTGATGACAGCTGAGATCCCACTTGACACAAATTGACGCTATCGCAGCCCCTTCCATGCCATCGCAATCACTGCGACGGCAACACTTTGTGTCAAAATGGCATCGCAGTTGGCAGCGCAAACATGGCGTTTTCTGTTAGTGGATGGCCTCAATTGGTTCCAAACGGCGTCGCAGCTAGCATTGGCAAAATGGCCATTTTGGAAACAGCAGAAAGCACGAGTGTTCTCTGCTGCTGCAGCCTCAGCCAGATGCGCGCTTCCTCGATCCCCGCTCAACGGACAAGCTCCGCCCTTGCCGTTGGACCCGCCCGTGGATCCGCCCGTGCCGAGCACCAGCCCTCGAAAATGAACAAACCGCAAAGCTGCAGACAGAAAACGCAACGCGAACTTCTGCAATAATTTTGCAAGAGCCATTCGCGATCCGGCAAGCGATTTCCGGGGAGCGGCAGCATCGCCCAGCCTTCCTCGTTGCGTGCACGATGGCCATCATCTGGCCTGCGCCGCCGGGCCCTGGCGCACGCGCTTCCATGGCTCTCGCCAAGGATACTTCTGCTAAATGTCCGAGCATGTCGTTGCAGCGGCAAGACAGGCTGGGCCCGAATCACTTTGTGGATGTCGCCAGTCCGCACCCAGTCGCCTGCATACTCTCACCAGTAGATGGTGCATTTTGGCGACGCCAAACGCGATTCTATTTGACGCTAATTGATGCCTTTACGGCTTTTTATGCCATTGCAGTCACTGTGATGACGTCACTTAGTTTAAAATAGTACGGCAGCTGGCATCGCCAAAAATTTTTTCTGCCCGCGTGTGCGTCCGAGGATGTTTTTGCGGCGAAATGAGAGACATAGTGTGTATCTTGTTCGCCACAGACAATTCCTCAGCTATTATTTCCCCACACCAATTGGACAGGCTATTATAGCACAACACTGTTTTGTGTCGTAAGCAATTGTTCTTGATGCTTTCCAAACATCCAGGGGGACTTCACGGATGTGCTACATGTACATGGTATCTAATTAGATACCATGTAAGTACCATGCAGATACCATTAGATACTGTGTAGATACGCGTCTACATGGTATAACATTATATAGTGTTCTCCAGGCGATCGTTGTCTGTACGCCTGGAGGGAGGTTGCATTGATGGGCGCCATGCTCGTCCCTCGCCAATGAGCAGTGCTGCTGCACACTAATGGCAATGTGCCGATAAAAATATTCTCGTTGATCTGCATGGACATAACATTAATGACAACATTGCCATGGTGTACATGCGCTTTCCGTGGCTGAATCCACCGGCTGGTGTCCAGCCATGGAGACAATAATAAACACTGACGTGGGAGTCTAGTGCTGCGAGGGCGGTATCCAGTGACGATATTCCTTTTCTGCACTTCCGTTTAACGTGATACATGGGCTTTTCGTGGGACTTGAAATCAAAATGAGAATGCGACCCGTTGAGCGAGCATAAAGGGTGGCACTTGTTGAAATATGAAAAATACGGATCACCTATGCGCTGCGCGATCACCCAGCACTGTTGTGCCCGTCTGCAAGGTCTGACTATGGCATTCACAGTGCGGGCACTTGTCCGGAAATAGCGCGGCCAGGGCAACATTCGGTGTCATCTCCAAAACTCGGTACGGCCGTTTTGGATCAAATCCACCTGGAAGCACTGGCATGCGCGAGACACTTATGCGCTGCGCGATCACCCAGCACTGTTGTGCCCGTTTGCAAGGTCTGACTATGGCATTCACAGTGAGGGCACTTGTCCGGAAATAGGGCGGCCAGGGCAACATTCGGTGTCATCTCCAGAATTCGGTACGGCCGTTTTGGATCAAATCCACCTGGAAGCACTGGCATGCGCGAGAGCATAGAAGGTGTGTTTCGCGCAGTTTCACATTGTCGCTCTTCCCGTTCCTGGCAGGGATGCAGCCGAATGACCAATCACGCCTGACGTCGTAAGCGCCCTGCGGGCGCTGCCGGTCGCTCCCTCGCACGTTGCACTCGCAGCCAGTTCTGCTTTCATGAATTGCGTGCTAATCTGTGTGGTCCTGGTGACCGTACTTGTACATATTCTGTAGTATTTTGCTTTCGTGAAATGCGTGCGAATCTGCGTGGTCCTGGTGACCATATTTGCTAATATTCCATAGGATTGTTTGAGCCTGAGTGCCCAAGCCCCGTTGGCCATATGATCCTGGCCTTCTGGTAGTATCTGCCTCAGCTCTGGAGTAACGGGGCAGGGAACAGGCAAAAGATTGGCGCAAATGTGATCCAGTAGCGTGCACGGGAGCAGGCCTTGTGGAACAAAACCAACTTAATGGCTGATTCTGACAATCGTAGAGATATACGAGGTGTGCTAAGCCAGATTTTTGGCAGATGTTGAAGCGCTGGCTGCTGGCCATGCTGGCAAGGTTGAATTTTTTCGCCGTCATCACTCGAATTCGGCACGTGGGCATTGTCACATGTCTGCTGGGCGCTGCAGGAACGCACAAGTTGCGCATCAGTTTCTACCCAGATTTCATGCGATTGTCGCAGTCGAATTCCCGTGCCCATTGTTGCTTGGATGGAGCTATTTAGCAGTGCCAATGCTTTCAATTGAAGCACACGTTTTCACCACCATCCACCTTTCTTTCTCTACAGATCCGCTGTTTCATAATGTTCATGATCGACAAGGACTGTGATCTCTCTAATTGGCTGATAGGGGTCCCCTCTGCTCTACTCCCCCATTTGGCCTCCAATTCCATTTCGGGTCCAGCCAGGGTCCACTCCAGCAACAATGAATCAATGCCGAATTTATTTGCCACATGCAACCAAACTTCCAGGCGCAAGAATTGTCGAATGATCTGTGGCCAGCCCTGCTCCCCTCTCAGCCGATCGCCGCTCAGGTGCACACGTTTTTGGCTGCCTTCTTACAGGTCTTCTTCAGGTTCTTCACCGTCGGCTTGTGCCCGCACTTGCTCCCTCCGAATTCAAGCACTGCAACGCAGGGGTGACTCCATCAGACCATGGCCTTTCGCATCGGTTGCGCTACTTTTTCACTCTGCATAGACTTCGAGAGTAAAATAGAATAGATTCTGAGCATAGACTTCTTGACTGCACTTCTTTTCCACCCTGCATGGCTTTCGAGCCGGCACCAAAACGATGGGCCATACAATTTGGACCTGTTTCAAAACGGATCGCTTGCAGAAGATTAAACTTCAAGTTTGGTTCAAAAATTATTAACAATTACCAAAGGTACCGTTAATTAACTACTAACGTTACCAACGCCTCCAGCCACCATGTGGGGTGGGGGGACGGAGGAAAGCTCCTTTCTCAGATCGGATGGGCATTCAACCGACTACAGGTTGATGCCGGCATTTTTCATGCTCTTACGTCCAGCCAATGGACAAACAAACTACTACGAATCACTGGGAGAAATTGCACATTGTGCAGCAAAAACGGACACCAACAATGACAAATGATCTGATTCATATTGCACTCTGTAAAATATGCACTTTGCGTTGCTCTGAGAGCTGCACGTACTCTTGACGAAGAACGCCCCGTCGTCCGAAAAGAGGGTTTTGGTAATGGCGCCGTGCGTGTCGTCGTCGCACATGCATTTCTGCAGAATCCCACAACACCCCTTTCAGAAATAGTGGCACCAGCAGGTACAGTAAGTACAGAGGCTGCAACCACTTTCCCGGGATAGGGTTTGGAAACAGATGAGCTCCGTGTCAACAGACGCCCAGCCTAGCACTGCACAATCAACTCGAATTCGTGGACACCATGAATCAGCCAATACACCGGCAAATCAGATTGCACACATCCAGATTTATGGACTCGAATTCATGTATTTTGTTTGCCCAATTTGGTCGGATCCACCGCCTGAATAGTTGAAAATGGACTCAAGCTCGTCATTAATGAAACACATGCACCCAGGTGTGGGATGTTCATTGCATATGTGTGGGTCAAACGAGCATTGCACTGAGCAAGACCACAGCCTTGTGCTCCACGAGAGCGCAACATGGTCTCTGGGAAAGGAGTTGGACAGCTGGAGTTGGCTACTACCGCAATGAAAAATTTGGAGGGTCTACGAAACATGGCAAACGAATAGGATGGGGTACTCACGCTCTGAGCCAAGTCGCACAGCGCCTTGCAGCACCTGCCACCAGATACAAGCGCCGAGTCAGTGGCAGCGATGAAACACAGCCACACACACCCACACATCCACACACCCACACACCCACCAATGGCTTACATACAGCAGAATCACGATGCGCTATGGCCATGAATGAACCAAGTGGCCGGCATCCTCATATATGAGTGGCCTGGCCACGGGTGTAAGTGACCCACAAGCACGGTTCACCCAGCACATCGCCTGTTCCCTTTTGAGCACTCTGCATAGCTTGAGCCTCTATCAGTATTTCTAGCTTGCCGTAATCACAAACTAATGCTGTTTAACATCAGCCTTGTGCACAGCAAACTCAAAAGCTCCCAGTCAGAGGGCAAGCTGCCCATTCCACGGCATGCCTCGACCCCTCTCCCAAAATTTGCGGCTATAGACAATTAGGGAAAATTGGAAAAGACATACAAAGGGAAAAAGTTACAAAGGATAATAGAAAGAAAGGCAAACAATGACGAAAGAGAACAAAGCGAAAAAGAGAAAAAAAGAGAACAATGACGAAAAAGCAAGGAGAAATGCTGAAAAAGGGAATAAGTAGAGAAGGTAAGCACAATAGTGAAAATAATGAAACAAGTACACTACGGAAGTACGATAGGGGAAACAGCGAATAATATGGAGAAACAGGTTGCTCACCCAGGTGCGATCTCCTCCAGGTCCTTGAAGTAATCCTCGGCAGCGGCCGTGTCGATGTCCAGAGACTCGGTTGGGGGCCAGCCGAATCCCAGGGCCTCGCCCGCCGCGGCGAAGTCGTCGGAGCAGTTGGTGGCGAACCACACGATATTGTCCTTGCACTCCTCGGACACGCCGTTGAGCACGTCTATCAGGACTTGGCCGTTGGACACACCTGCAGCGAAAAACCGGGGCGATTCAATCGGCCATGGCCTGATAAGAGAGGTTTTGGGGAAGGAATTGATTCCCCAGAGACCGCTTATTTTTTCCCACGGTCTTGTCACCAGAAATGCACATTTGTGAGGCCGAAGCACGGCCCCGGCAGTGAAACAGGTGACAAGGGGGGGAAGTCCGTTCCGCGGAGGTAGTCCTCTGTAAGAAGAGGGAGAGGGGTGAGCGGACATGGCATCTGTGGTCGGAAACGAGCACAGAGCGGAGAGGACAAGTCTGGGCAGTCCTCATCAGGATGAGGCTGGAACGGGCTTTGAGTGGCGGCGCGCTCTCGGCGGCCGCTCAGCCAGGTGATTGCGCCCAATCTTCGCCGCGTGTCGTGGCGCAAAGGCCGTTGGCGCGGCAGAGGTATGCTCGAGACCTCATCGAGGAGCGACGCAAAAGAGCGACGCCCCAAGTGCAGCTGAACACGGCCCCGAAATCGCCAATCGGTCGGCCGTAAGCGCGTATCGGAAAGCGGGGTGCGCATGGATATTGCGACAGCGGTCATCCAATTGGATGCGACGTCGCAGGCACGGGCGCTGCACCGGAAATCGCCCCGCGCAGGCAGGTCGGTTCACCCTCCCCACAGGCACCGGGCGGGGTATCCAGGCTGCCCAGCATCAGAGCTCCTGAATCAGCACTTTCAGCCGCGCGGTGGCCCAAGTCCACATGCACGAGGACGCATTGCCAACGGTGTCCGCAAGCCGATGCATCCAATTCTGTCCGCAGTGCCAATCGCTGGACTCGCCGTTCGCCGCTCGGACGGGATCAAGCGCCGCCATGGCGTCTCTCCCGACGACAGCGCAAAATCACCTCTAGTGCGGGACCCCCGGGCGCGCCTTGCGCGACAGGCTAATGCCCACCTTGTCGACAGTCGTGATCCGGGGCACGTCCAAGCGCCGTTCAAAGGCGCTGAAAACCGCGTGCACGGCACCCGTTCGGCCGGCCGGCGCGACAGCACAAAGACGCCCGTTCCGCGGGACCCACGGACACCCCCTGGCCACCAGGCCCACATGCGCACCCGCGCCAGCCCGCTTTGTCGACAGCGCCGATCTGGGGACTCGCCAATCGCCGCTCAGACGACATCTACCACCCTCATGGAATCCGTCGCGACGGCCGGCGCGGCGGCGCAGAATCGCCCTTTGGGCGGGAGCCGTGGACGCGCATCGGCCAAAAGGCAACCTGGCGAACGCCGCCCCGGTTCATTTTGCGGACAACGCGTTACGGGGACTTTCCAGCACATTTCAGAAGCACTCAAGCCGCCCACATGGCAATTTTCCTGCCCACTGACGCGCACAAAATCGCCTCCCTCGCCTGTGCGACGGCACCCACGGACGCCAACCGCCCAACAACCTCTCACCCGCGAATCCGGCCAAGGCGATCACCGCCAGCAGCAAGGACGCCCTGCACGCGCGCGCCATGGCGATTGAGGCGACCGGCCCTGAGCGGGGGGCTGGCGGGCGGAGCAGAATGGGATGCCTTGGGCTTGGAGCTGGAAGAGTGCGCACATGAGGCTCGGCCCCGCGCTCTTATTGGCCCTGGGTGTTGACGGCCGGCTGCCGAGGTACACAGCGCGCTGGCGGACATGGAGGGAGGGGGGCGTCCGATGTCGGCTGCACTATCTGACGGGCCCGTGGCCGAAGCGCCAATGCACTGCTCCCCCGTTTCCCCTCGCCTTTCCCGGCGGAGAGAACGACGGAGAGCGAGGGGAACTTCTTACTGACGGTGTTTAGTGTCCCATTTCCCTGGCCAAAGCTGGGGTCCCGTCGTCGATGTTACTTGGTGGATCCCGTCGCCAGATATTCGCGCCTGGCCGGGCGCGGTGATGTGACGGCGAAGGCCTGATGTGCCGTGACGGCCCGTGAGGGCTGCGGACCGTAATGGAGGTGCAATCCCCGGCGGCGGCGGCGGCGGCGTGATGGCCATGGACTTGCACGATGTCCTGCTGTGGCGAACCGTGGGACATTTCCCGTTGTGCAGCTGCAGTCGCGCCTTTTGTTGGGCTCAGAGGCCCAATCCGTGTTCTTGTACCCGCATGACATGGTTTGGGTTGGCGGCCGTTGTTTCTCCTTCGTCTCGGGGTGTCGTATGAGGATGCCGACACTTGGCATGCACGGCGTCGCCTCCGAAGCAGCAGCAAATCCACCCCGAACTTCAGAACGTGGCGTGATAGCAGGCATCCCTGAGCACGTGTATTTCTACCTGCATGCCTGCTCATGTCCCCTGGAACCGCTCCGGTAAGGAGCAGAGGACAAGTAATGCCACCAAGTCCGCGAATCAAGCGGACCCGGTGAAGGTTATCCAAGCTGTACTTTGGGCTCACTCAAATTTGCAATTGGCGAAGGTACCGGTACGAGATGCATATGCCAGCTGATGCGCACAGCTGATTCCCCATTTAAGCCTTACATAGGACACTAATGAGCACGTAATAATGCACTCGCGAGTGTATATCCGATTAGGTTTAGTCGGACAGTGTGCGTGCTAGACGGTGATAGGACCCTTTCAAGCGTAAATCAGTGAATCAATCACCCATTGCCTGTAAAGATGTACATTAGAAAGCTACCATGCACCAAATAATCCGGCACGGAGACCACCCATGCGATTCCAAACCCAGGCGGCGTTCCTGAACGCCATCTATTCATTAGTTGGAAGGTTTTCGATGTGCAAGAAAAACCCATGATAGAGGAATGATCACTTCCCTTTCCAGAAATCCGGGGCGCAGCACCACAACAGCTCCTTACCCCCCTCCCTTCTCATCTGGTGGCTCAGCTCTTGATGGACGAAAACACCATTACCACCAGTCTTTTTTACATAACAAGGCAAGGAAGTTCCTGTCAGATTCCTATATTGCCCGGGCGAAGCAGTGTCCATGATTTGTTCGGTGGCATCTAATGCCATTGTCACACGCCTCGTTCATTGCGTCGTTCCCCGTTCCCACCCCAAGGAGCCACCCACCATTGGCAACCCACACATCCCCCACCGCCCCAATCCGCGGCCAACTGCCGTGTTTGGAGACTGACAGAACAATGGACGGAAACGCCACTATCAATCCCCTCATTCAATCATAAATCCTCACCATCGATTTGTGCATAACAAGCCAAGGAGGTAGTCTTCAGCTTCCCATTTTCCCCGAGCGAAGTAGTGATCATGATTCTTCATTGAAATCTAACATTCCCCTCATTCATGACGTTGCCCCTCGCTCCCGATCCCGAGAATGCCATCCACCATTGGCACAGCACAACCCGCACACCCCGCACCACTCGAATCCCAGGCCCACTGCCACACTTGGCGTCTGAATGCTTGAAGGATCCCCTTGCCTCGCAACGAAAAACTGAATGGCGCTGCTGATGATGACTGCAGCTGGATGGGTGGAAACGTCACCATCGTCATCGTTCATTTTCCACGCAACGAGGCAAGGAGGTAGCCGACAGCTTCCTATTTTGCCAGGGCGAAGCAGCGTCCGTGGTTTGTTCATTGACATCCAACGCCACTATCACTCCCCTCATTCGTGGCGCCATTGCGCCCCCACCCCCGTGCCGAGAAAGCCAAGCACCATTGGCACAGGACAGCTCGCACTCCCGCAACTCAAATTCGCCACCGACGTCCCCTTTTGGCGATTGACTGGCTGACCGCAGCCCGCCTCGTTATGCAAAGCGAACGACGACGATAATGACAGTTTGATGGACGTAAACGCCATTATCACTCCCATTATCCATGACGCCATACTTCCCTCAACATGCCGAGAAGCCAACCACCACATGCTTGACACCACACACACACACACACACACATGTGCTGTACAGCGTCCCCCGGCCGCTCAAATCGGCGCCCGGCCTCCCCATTACCCCCCACCCCACCCCAGTCCCATACACGCCGTGCCCCGTTTCCTCGCCACTCTCCGCGCAACCCACCGCCATGGCCAGGGCCAGCAACGTGGTCGCCTTGCTCGCCGTCGCGGGCTTGGCACTCATCGGTGAGCGCAGCACACACGGGCTTAGGAAAAAAGAGAAGGGCGGGAGGGGGGAGCGCCCACATCGCTCTTGGTGCGCGACGAATTGCCCGACCGCGCAGCGCAGCTAAGCCTTGTGAGCTTGGTCTCGGCCCTTGGGCACTTTCGCCGCAGGGCGAGGAATGCAGAATGAGCTCTGGGCGCATTGTGGACTGAAAACCGGTGCCAAATTTTCCGGCTGGGCGCTGGCCACCGCGGGGAGCGGGGTGGGGGAGGGGAGGCGCTTACGCTTGGGGTGGCTGGGGGCGGTCTGAGCAGTGTCGCCAGAGGCCTAGGGCGACGGGGGGCGTGCCGAGAGCCGTGGCGCCTGCGCCTCGGACGCGCTGGACCGTGCTGTGTCTGCGTGGGGTGCGGCGGGCACGCCTTGCGCCCGAGAATTGCGATTGGAGGCGCGGGGGGGGTGGCCATGCATGGGGCATGGGAATGTGGATCGCGGGTTATCGCCTCGATTCAGCGGGGACCCTTTAGGTAAAGTTGCTTGGAAGACAAGGCAGACCCCTCGCGCCTGTCAGGCCATGACGGCCTTGCGTGTAGAATGTTTTTCTGCCCCTCGTGGGTTGCGCCCTCTCGCCGCCGATTGGGGGCCGGGGTTGGCTCCGCGCGCATGGCTGGACGGAAGCCGTTCTGTGATTGTTCTTGGTGGGGAGATGGGGGAAACAACGGAGTTTCAAGGAGGCGGGCGCGGGCAGCAAAAATCCAATCGATTGTGGTATCGATACGTAATCGATCGCGCCCAACTGGTATCGGAGAGCGGCTGCGGAGGCTTGGGGACTTCTGGCGCCGCAACGCCTCGCCAGCAAATTGTAGCCCATTTACGCATTGCGCTGTTGCATCTAGAACTGATTGAGTATTACTAATAACTGAATGCATGAAAAGATAATGAACCACTAGGAATTGCATTAAGGACGTTGATGAACGGAATGGATGTAAAGGACAGAACGCCTGCTGTCCTTTTGCCTCGGCTGTAAACCGTTGACGTGGACTCGATCGCCACCCCTCGATCCTGCCTGCCTTCATCAACGCATTCAATGGTTACCAAATTGCATAAGTCGTGTACTTTAGTACATAACAATTTCCGCGCTACATCCTAACGCTTGGCGATTTTACGCGGAACAACGATAAAACATAACGGTGCCAAGAAAATGTGGAGCAGCCCGAGCCGCAGGGCAAAGGCCTCTGGACTGCTTGTGGCGTCTAGCAGAGCCAGAGGCACGAGTCGCTGTGGCAAAAAGCCGGCTTTTGAGGCCACATGAACTCAGTGGAGTCGCCATTCCGGCTGTGACCATGATGCGGAGACCCCAAGTATGCATGTGCAGCATGGGGTTAAGTTTGCGACCAGTTTGTCTGAAAGCATGTTAGGCGTCCGCAGCGTGCCGAGAAGAACACATTTCTCGCACCTCACGCATGAATCGAATGTGCTTACATCGTGCAAGGTAGTGGATGTGCTAATATTGGCGCCAGTGTGTGTTGTGTGAAACAAGTTCAGAAAATGATTTGCTCAATACCTCGCTTACTTCGTTGGCGTGGTTCCGAAGTGGTGGCGAATACGCACTTGACGGCGATACTCACTCTTCTACACCTCCGGCGACGTCTGATGCATACTACAAAATCAGGAATTCGTTTGCTTCAGAAGTACATGGCTATTTTCAAATTCTGTCTGCTTTTTGGTGTGACCGTACCCGCCCTTTTCGGTGCCTTGTCAGGCTCGACAGAAGCCCTGCTGCCCGGGCTTACGGAGGGCGTGCCAGAGGAGTGCCAGCCCTTCATTGAAAATCTCGTCAGCAACTGCACGATTGAGCTCCTGGACGTGGCCACCAAGTTCGAGATCCCCTTCCCCGTGCCGGAGGACTTCATGGCGCCCAACATCACAGAAGAGCAGGTCACGAACTACACGGACACGATGCCGCCAGTCAGCGAGATGTAAGGGCCATTCTCCAAGCCTGAAGAATATATGCGCATCCTTATATTGTCTAGGTTTATTGATTCTAGACATTATCTTGATGTTTTCCAGATGTTCTTGCAGTATATCAGTATGGATATGTCTGAACAATGGCTTGAATAATGTCATTAAGTATTTGAGGAATATCTTTATATGTGTTGCTTTGTATGGGCGCAGACTGAACCGATTGTAAGGCTTTATGACATTCTCGAATCTCCAAAATATTATTTGGCTACTTCTGAAAATGTCTTATTTACTGCTTTTACCACCCACCCCTGCCGAGCAGCAATTCGCGATCTGCTCTGGCGCTGTGGACCTCGATTAGAATCGACCAATTTTGCATCACTTGTTGCATCACCTTATTTGACGTCACACGCGAGCTGTTTTGTTTTTTTTTCGCCTCTTGGCTTTGCCACATTCAGTTCTCTATTTCCACAAGGGAGGCGCCACAAAATTTCACACGGGGTGGCTTGCCTCCCCATGGTTTGGTGCACTGTTGCATTGTTGTGCGTGGGGCCGATCAGACTGGACACATTTGAGCGACATCGGATGGAAATCCTTTCACAGGCCAGTGAGTGGTCGTTTTTCCTTCGGCAATGCGTGGACACATACATAATGATGTATCGTACATAACATATTGCGTGGACGATACATTGTATCGGAAACCGGTGATTCCTTGATGGCGAAGCCTCAAGAGAAAATCAAATATCCCGCTAGAGTATTGCAAATAGGTATTTAGGTTCTGGGAAAGCGCTCAGCAACAGCTGGCAAGCGCAGTGAAAACGCGTGCAGAATGCGGCAGGCGTTTTCACTGCTCTTGCGTAATCTTAGGTGGTGAAACAACGGGCAGCAGCCAACGTTTACGTCGTGAACCGTTCTATGTGTGTCCAGGTTGGTGTGTGCTTCCAGAATGGTTGTGTGTTCCTGCGTGTGCTGGGCCATTCTGGCAGTTGCTGTTGGGAATCAGCATAGCTGACGTCACTGGCCGCATTTCGGAGCATCTGATGACCAAATTTGAACTCTCTTTGGTGCAGGTGCTGCACGAACATGTGCCTGACCGCCAACAGCGTAAGTGCGGAGGACTGCGCTTTAAAAATGCTACATCTCCGTTCTGCAAGTGGGGTTTGCGTTTTCCCAGGCTTGGTACTTACGGCGTTAACGCAAAAACGGAGCCGTAAACGCAGGGACCAAGCCGGTATTTTCCATCCATTTTGGAGGCCATTGGGGGTCGCATGAGCGGCATTGCTGCCCCTGTTGTGATGTGCACAAATTTGAAATCAATTTCAACGTTTCAAGCGGGAACAAAATTTGAACGAGTTTACTCTCCTCATGTGTCCTGATCCTTGTTGTATCTTACTCCTACATGTTGGTGGGGCCAGAAATATCGCGTTTTGAATCCAACGGGGGAAGGGGGAAAACAGAGTGGATTTCTTGTGTGTGCAGGGGTGCGGCTGCGATAACGACACGATTGCCGTACTCACGGACCTCCTGCAGGACACCGAGGGGCGCCTCATCACTGGAGGTAAGCGCCGACTCGGGAGGAATAGGAAAGAACTGCAAAGTACTGAGCCTTGTGTCACGTTTCCCCTAAAAAGAAGTGATAGATAAATTGGTAAATAGTATGAGCACATGTGTGCCCATTTGAGCGATCCTCTGGTTGGGTAATTGGAGAGATTTTGCAAGCACACGTCAACTACAAAGATGCATCATAATTTGCATTGGAAGTTATAACGTCTTACAGCACGCGCTGCAACATTGCGGTGTAATTTGTGATGCCATTTCGAAAATTGCCTTAATGGCGTTTCCGTGTGGCGCAGTCTTCAACTACATTGGCGAGACGTGCGGCTTCACGCCCTCCATTACCTTCGTCCCGGAGTCGTGCGATCCGCTGCCAGAAAACATGTGCTGAGTCCCCCAGCGGGTCCTGAGATCACTGGGATCATCAACATATCACTGGGGGTATCATCTGGATCACTGAAGGATCACCGGGATCATTGTTGGATCATTGGCGGGCCATGGGGACCAACATCGCCCCTAGTGACACAGAGCCGGTATGCTGGAATCAAGAATCGATGCTGTGGGGCGATGGGAGCGTCGGCGTGGGGATCAGCGCAACGCAGAGTTACGCTTGTGCGTTGCGCTACGCTGTAACAGGAATCGGTGCCGTTGAGAGGGCTCAAGATGGGGCTATCTAGTGGCAGGTCATGGCGGTCCAGTCGAGCATTATTGCATTGAATAATGTGGAACGAGCATAACTGTGTCGGTATCAGATTACTTCAGTCCATGTGAATGCCGCCGCAGAATTAGATTAGTCCAATATCGCAAGTGTTCTTTCGAGGCAGTGGAAACATAGGAAATGACGTTGTTTCACTTGGCGGAGCAAGCAGGCCAATGTCCTGTTCCTGTCGTTTGCCTACGAACGTCAACTTTCTCGAAGCCCAAGATCAAGGGTTGTGAAGTCGCTGCTTGTTGGCTTATTGCGTCGATGGCATTGGCGCATCTTGCGTGGTAGCCAATCGTTAAGACCGCCACAGAGGCTGCTCTTTTGGATTCCAAAAAATACGTGGCACCACAGCAGGGACGCGGAGTCGGAGATTGGTTACCATTCATAAGGCCATTCGCGCAAAGCGCTTGTTCCAATTGGGTTGCTGTTCATGCTAAATCACGAAAATGCGGCAATACAAGTAATCTCGACACTCGTGCAACTGGATCCCACGGGAATTGACCCAACTCCGTCGTTGCCGCTGCAACGAAATTATGGTCCAATCAAACCTGCATAACCATTGTTTACTACACCCGAGGGCTTCTGTGAGTAGCCGGCAGCCCAACACGCCACAGCTCGTCCCGCATCGCCAAAACCCATCCCTTTCGTTAACCCCGGCCAATACCGGCGAGCACTCTGGCGGACGCCCTCGGTGGCAAAGAGCCAGCCACGGGATCTCGCTTGATGTCCAACACCCCTGGGAGATTGATGGATACACAAAGAATCCCTTTCCATGGCAGTGCCCACACTGCGCTCAATACATGCGATTCAGCATAAAACGTTCCCTGAACAGGCGAAATTGTGGAGAAACCGCATCGCTTATCCTTCCTAGTAGGAAGTTCCCATCCATTAAGTCCCCAGCTGATCCCTTCCAAGCTCCACACACGTGCGCATGAAAGCGCTGTGGCTGCTGTGCTTGAAGGGCGACAAGGCTTCGTCCATTCGCATCGGATTTGCAGCCAGGATGCGTCAACTATGCGGCAGTGAAGCTGGAGCCCTCATCCTGGTCTTTGATTGCAGAACATGCCACCGGGGCGGCCGGCCGCTTGTCCCTACTTAGATAGCAATATGAGAACAAAGCTGCACAAACACCTGAATTGAATTTATTCTACTCAGCTACAACAACGACGTAACAAACTCCGCTATAACAAAAACGGAAACGCGTCTTTGCACAGGTTTATTCAAAACATGGAAGGAGCCAAGCAGCTGCTCTTGGCGCAGAGAGGGTGCTTGCGCAGGGTAATGGAGATGAGTAACAGCTTGCCAGGTACCCCTAATTCCAGTGACCTTTGCTTCCAAATACAACTAAAGTATTGCAGGAGCTTGCGCATTGAGTGCAATTGAACAATCGAACGCCCCAAAATGCTGTCCTCTACTGCTGCTCGCGCCATAACCATGACACGAGGATGGTATTACCCACATTGTGGAATACAGAGAGTTCAGTGCAGCGGCTCGACAAAACCCGATGGCACCCCATTTGCCTGTTGCATTCTCTCGATCAGAAAGTATTCAACTGACCAATGCAGCACAAATATCTCAGCGGACGTGCAGAGGCTGCCTCTGTCGTTATAGGAGATATACAGCGCTCAGTGAGAATCTCAAATACTTTCTCCGTCCCATCGTAAATGTCCTATTTGACTTTGGTGTTTCTCCATCACAAATAATTCACTCGCTTGGGGACCGAGCAACGTTCTGACGAATTCCCAAGGACTCTTACTTGAAGGATTTTTTCTGGAGCACAATTATGTCATACTGAATAAAGATGGGGCTGACCCGACTTTTCGCCCCACTCACGGATATGGCACATGGATTGATGTCACGGTGGGCATTCAGGGGATCAACGAGTTGGTAACTAATTGGCAAGTTCTCGAAGGGCACTTTTCTCCCACCATCAGCCCATCTTTTTATCGCTCAATTGCCAACCGGACTGAAAATCTGCCATACGCTCATTCAATTGGAAGAAAGCAGATTGGCATCGATTTAGATGATGCCTTGCGTTGGAATTAGAGTGTAGGGGCTGCAGGACCGCCATTCCCGCCACTCCAGAAGACCTAAAGTGGTTGGTGGATGACGTCACCACGGCCATGGGGATTGCACTCAAGGCAGCGATCCCAACCAAGCTCAGCTGCCAATACTCGAAGCCGTGGTGGCACCCAGAGCTGAGAGTTCTTTGAAAGCCATGCAACAAAACATATTTTCAATGGCGACGAACATGCCATCCAGCGGATCATTTGGCTTACAAGGCAGCAAGGCGGACATTTAAGGACACCATTAGACAAGCCAAAAAGGACATGTGGACCCAATTTTGTGAAGGCACTGCCAGTCAGAATGCTTGGGACAAGCTACAACAAATTGCCCGGCATGGCTCTACACTGCGGATTAGAAAACTTCGTGATTGTGATGGTAATTTTGTCAACATTGACTCAGCCAAAGCAGCCCTCTTGGGCGAACAATTTTCACCACTCCTGACCATGCTTGGACATGGCAACAGGACAGAATGACGCAATTCACACAGCACTAGATGACTCAGCATCCTGGTGATGGAAACTTTTCTGAATACATTATATATCATGAGGTCAAAATGCATTCTGCATACCAGGGCCACCGGAGCTGCAGGTTTTGATGATATTACTAACAAGTGTCTACGACAGACAGAGGCAATAATGGTGCACATTCTGATCAATATTACGAGGGCTAGCTTCAGATTACAATATTTCCGGTGTCATAGGAAAAGGCGATCGCAATTGTAGTTCCCAAGGTGGGCCAAGACTTGACCTTACCTAGATCTTTTAGGCCCATTTTATTGCTGTCTGTCATGGGGAAGTTGGTTGAACATGTGATGGCCAAAGGGCTAACTTACTAGCTTGAGCCAACCAATTTGGCTTTAGAAAACATAACAATACAGAAATTGCCCTTTGGCGCTTTGTGGAGGCTACCACCATGGCCTTCAAACGAAGTAGAAAGATTAATGCAATTTTTGTGGATTTGAGAGGTGCTTGCGATAGGGTTTGGGGCACCAATTTGCTTTTCTGACTAAATGATAGAACCTAGTACACCAAGCGTGAGCAATGCAAAAAAAGAAAGAACAAAATAAAGGGGCAGAGAAATATCCTTGAAGCGCTATTGTACCGGGATCAATGATATGACAACCATGCATCAAAGGACTTCTAGACCCCTTAATAGTTTGACATTTGCTTCATCTTGGCATTGAATTCCCCAAGTACCAGTCTGACGGGGGCTCAGGGTTGGCATGTCTGCCGTCACACCCAAATGACCCACCAGCTCTTGGCATTCCCGTAGCGTGCATTATCTGAGGAAATTGGGGGATGTAAAATGGTGTCCTTGTATATCCCACACTATGTCCATGATGGGCATATACAATAATGTGTCATATCTCTCTTGGACACCATATAGAGCAATTGGAGTTGGCCCTTAGGGTTGTTAAGAGATGGCACTATGTGCACAGCAGGGGCGTGCAAAATGGCTGGTGACACCCAAACCTTACAGGAAAGTCTATGGCTTGGTCGGAAGATGCCCATACTGGTTGCTTTAGCTGGTGCCACCGAATCAACAGTGCTGGACATGGACTCGGTAGAAGGAAGTAGTATGCTTAGGAGCCTCGGGTGAATAATCCCCCCTACCATATGTAGCAGGAGTTGCAGAAGGGGATTGTTTGGAATTGGGAATCCCTATGGTATGGGTGGTTTTGAAGG